GGCCCAAAGGCAGTTTTGTTTCTTGACAGCAGCAGTGTGTTCCTCTGCCTAAACAATATTACTACCACCTGTTTGAGGAGGAAGTCTTGTTTTTGGGGGTTGGGAGGAGGGGCTGCCTCAAATTCTTTTTATATATATATTTTTTTTATCTTCAATTAAAAATTAAGAAACTTACTGTCAGACAACCAGCAAGACTCAGGCTGTATATACCAAGTTTTTCCACTGATTAAGACCTTCAGATTTATTGGCTGAGGGAAATAATGGGAAACACAGTGAATGGAGAAGTTTTAGGCCATTACTCACAGCTTTTATTGGCATGAGCTCTGGCTGGCATACAGCCAGTGACCTGCACAAAGGACAAAGCAAGTAACGCCTCTCCTGGCTCCTGGCAAGGAAAGCAAAGGAACATGGCATGGGTGGACAGCAGGAGAAAGTAGAAGCAGTGAAGGTGAATAATGTGTAACTGATAAATATTTATTTTTATTTATATTAAATGTAACTAATATATTAGATAGAAAATAACCCAACAACAAAGTTTAGTCGGGTTATTCCTTAAGGCAATGGAGGTTCTAGACAATATATTCAGGTTTTACAAAATCAACATTAGATTCAATAGGAAAAAAAATAAACTATATATGCAATAGAAAGTAAAGCTTAACACATTGTACAGCTTTGGTCATTGCTGAAATTAGCATAGTGCAATTTCAGAGGTTAGATTTACACCTCCTTTTAAGAGCTTTACTAATTGCATTTAGGTATCTGCAGTCTGCTGGTATTGTGATAAGTTTAGCCCTAATCTTCTGTGAGCTGTCGATGAAAAAAGTTCCCACACCATGGTGCTGCCACCGACATGTTTCACTATTTAGATGGTTTGTTTAGGGTGCTATGAAGTGTTAGCTGCAAGAGATAATTCATTGGTGAATTAATGCATCATACAGAAAGCTAAACATAGTTATGATTTAATTTTTAGGTTTACAAGACCAATTTACATTATTTTAGCTTTCCAGCACACCTAGGAACTTTTGTACCTGTGCAGACAGCTAAGCTTTGAAAATCATGGTGGATGAGCAACAGCTCCTATCGTTTAGGGTTTGCAAATACAAGCATCTACAGAAATCTTGTGATTTAGCTTATAAATATCACTACAACCAACAGATTGTTAAAAATTCTTGGTAATAAAGTTATCGTTACTCTTGAGAGACATGAAGAGGCTTGGAAAAAGTTGGAAAAGCTATGTTTTCTACTTCTGTATGTAGTGTGGTGTAAGCTTTTGGTATGTGTCCTGGACACAAGTGGAAAAATTGCACAAAGTACAAAAGCTGCACACATTTTGCACATGCATCAAGCATAACTTTACAGTGAGAGAAAGTTAAGAGAAGGACCTTCCATACTGGTTAATCTTGAATTCTCCTAAACTTCTGGGGAAAACTGAAATAATGGGAATAGAATTGGAAAAAAATTGTTACTTTTTTAAAAGAGTTACATTTATACTAATATAAAACAGCATCTCAGATGCAAAACATTACAAGGAAAAGTTAGACAATGGAGTAGAGTGGAAAGTATCTTTAATTGTTAAAAGAAAAAAAAAAACAATTATCAAAACAAAATAAAATTAAGGTTTTGGAGTGGCCTATTTGAATTTGGTCTTAAATCAGATTGAAATGCTGCGGTGTTAAGTTAAACGGGTCTTTAATGCTGGAAAATCCCCTCAGTAAGGCTTAATTAATACAGTTTTGGAAGCAAGTTTCTTCACAGTTCAACCCCATTCATGAAACAATTTCTAGTTATCCTAAAAAAGGGCAGGGCAGCACAATAAGCTATTAGGTGTTGAAGTTACTTACGTTTTCCCTTCAGACAAGCTGTTATGGATAGCTTTTTTGTATTCACTCAGACTAACTTAGTCCTATAGTAATTTATAAGAAATGGCCATAAGCATTTTAAAGCACTTCAAAGCAATTAAAAAAACAAATCTGTTTGGGGCTAAGCAAGTTTTCACTGCAATGTAGCATCTAGTGTGTTTGTGGTTTGATTAGTTGGCCCCACTTTACCATTTATTGTATTTTTTCCTTGAGCTAGGTTTTCACGCATAAATTCTCTGTTAGTGTTTATGTTTATTTAATCTAAATATTCTACAAAGGAAATATGTTGTTTTTGAGTAATTTAATCCATTAAGTCTCATGGTAATAATGACAAAAGGTACTTCTTTCTAGACTGTTTTATTTAATAAAAATCTTGAATTTACATTTATAAAAACAGGTAAAATTGATTCGAAAAGACTTATTGCAAATGTTAAGCATATTTTGTTTCTGTTTTGTCTCTACTGAAACATGTCAGATGAGATGACAGGAAAGATGGCGCCCTTGTGTGATCCTGCAATTTGTTATTTTGCAGAGTCACTGTTTTGTTTTCCCAGTTTTCCCACTTAATTAGCCTTTCTCCACATACACAAACTCACATTTGCAGCTCTTTGAGGCTGCTATAGGCTCAGTATGTGAAAATGTCAGGCTCTCACTCCCACACAAGCCACAAGCAAACATAAAGTCTTTCCACACCAAATCCTAGCAGAGATTACATCTCTGTTAATTACCTTCCTTTGCAGTGGATGGATGGATTGATGCAAGTGCACATGTGCAAACTTTGCCATATACAAACAGACGAGGGCACAGTCAAATACACACTTGCTTTGGGCCCCACAGAGACTGTTAACATCTAATTAGATCTGATAGCTGTGGAAGCCAACCTTATTGACATTGGTAAGTTATTTTTGCTGTTATTGTTGTTCAGAGGGGCAATAGATTCATGTCTTGGGCTATACCTCTTTGTAACCGTTTATGCCGCACAAATTCCATATATATTTCTTTTTTTTATGGGGGATGGGTGGGGGTTACTGTATGTGTCAACCAGCACAGCTTCCATCATTTTCTGCATGTTCAGTGTTATTGCCCTGCTAGAGGACAGAGCTTCACCCCAGTGTTAGGTCTTGTAAAGCTCTGATTTCCCTGTTTATTCATCATCCTTTCAATTCTGACAAGCCTCCCTTTCTATGCTGAAGAAAAGGATTCCCACAGCATGATACTGCCACCACCTGGATTTACTGTGGTGTACTGTCCTGGTTTTCTACTGGTGATTGGTTCTCATTTAAATACTTCAGTGTCAGGGTTGCTCTCCTGATACTAATGACTAATGTAAACAAATGTTCCTTTTACAAAATTCCATTTTAGTGTGCGGTTGTACGACACTCGATTTTTGTATGATGGTTTAAATATCTTAAGGTGTTGCTCAATAATCTGACCCAGCCTTAAAGTTTAGCCCTGAGCAGTCTGGGGTAAACTTGTCAGCATTATGTTTTTTTTTTTTTTCATTAGCAGTATCCAAGAAAAGTCTTTAATCACTCTCAGAAAACCAAAAAGTTACACTCAGTCAGATCTATTTACTTACTGCACTGGAAACAAATCGAAATCTAGATACGTAATTTTTTCTTAAAATAAGTGCATTTGTTATTGGATTGCGAGGGGTGCTTGTGCCTGTCTCTAACTGTCTACGGTTGACAGGCGGGCTACACCATGGACAGGTTGCCAGTCCATCGCAGGGCCACACAGAGACAAACAGGACAAACAACCATTCATGCACACACTCACACCTAAGGAGAATTTAGAGAAGCCAATTAATCTAACGGTCATGTTTTTGGACTGTAAGAGGAAGCTGGAGTACCCGGAGAGAACCCGCTTGTGAGCGTGTCAGATAATGGATGGATGGTTATTGGATTGAGAAAGTAAAAAAGACATTTTACCAATGGAACAAGACAATTTACACTTAAAATAAGAAAACACAACCACATTGTCTTATTTTATTTATTTTTTTTTTTATACAGTGTCCTGTCTGGCAATGTGGCAATAAGAATAATTGTCTTGATGCCAAAAAGAGCCCAACAAATTTTACTTTCCCAAGTGTAGCAGTATGGTAATTGCATTGTCTTATTTCAAGTGCATATTATCTAATTATCTTATTTTAAAAAAAAAAAAATAATTCCATTGGAAAATCATCTCATTTATCTACTTAAATTAAGGTTAAATACACTTGTTTTAAGACATTTGTACCTATTTTTTTCCACTGTGGGTGACTATTAGGAGCATGTTTTGCACCATATTTCTTTTAGGTTTGCACGGATTAAAAATACACTTAGAATTTGTAGCGTATTTGATTAATTAATCAAAAAGCACACATTTTTAAGCACAAATTGGTGAAGTAATGCATAAAGTCAGTTCTCTAAGAGATAAGCCTGAAATGTTCCTTTTTTTTTAAAACCCAGCAAGATTCCTACTTTTTTTTTAAAATGTTGTTTACCTTACAGAAGAGGCATCATCTTTCCTACAAAGTCGTAATGGTTCTTAAATTTGGGATCTGTTTGTGTTGACTAGTCTTTTAAAAGAGTCCCCCAGGATTGATTAATCAAAGATATAAGCAATCTCTAATCCCATGTGAGCAGGACTCCAATGTAAGGTGCAGAGTATAAACTCTTGTCAGAACACAGAAGCATTTTAACAATGAGGTGAATCTTCTGCTGAACTATAACCACCTCAGTCTGAGTGAGTCCTACAGAAAGAAGCATTCCAATGCTAGAACCATGCTTTATAGCTAGAGGAAATTATTTGGAGGAGTCGTGACGTAACCTGGAGCTAAGCAGAGGAGGTGGTGGGGGAAAATCTGTCTTCTCTAAGAAAAAAATATTCTGGCAATTTTTGGGAGCTGAGCGTTTGCAAAAAAAAAAAAAAAAAAAAAAAAAAAAAGTGTGCAAAATTTAGTCTCTGATGTTTGGATATTCTGATGGGAGGTTGCAGCTGCGCTTTTACCCTGACAGTTGCTGTGCGTAAAAGGTGAGAGTTGCTTAAGACTGATACGAGCGAGAGAGGTGAAGAGAAAATACGGAGCCAGAGAGAGAGAGATAGAGAGAGAGAGAGGAAAGAAAGCGAAATAGAGAGGGAGGGGGGAAACGCGAGGCGACTTTGGCTGGCAGTGTGCGCCTCTAGCTCTCAAGCAGTGGGAGAGATGTGCGTAACATGCAGCGGAGAGCGGTGATCATCGCCCGTGGAGCCGCCGTGCGCACTCGGAAGAGGGAGCAGCTCGCATTTCTGATCAAATGATAGAAGATAACCTTTCAAATAAAGCAAAACTAAGGAATTTACGATGCAAGCCCCTCAACTGCTGATTGGGGGTTAATCGCCCCTCTTGGAGCCGCTGTGACGCAAACTGTAGCGCGCATATTATTATGATTATTTTCTTTTAGTTTATTCTTTTTTTATTATTATTATTTCTTGTGGAATTTCATCTAAAAACTGGACGATCCAGATAGTTTTCCCGCCTGAGAATGAATCAGTGCCTGTCTGCAAGCTGATTTGGAGTGTCTATCCCCCTCTACCTCTCCAACCACCGGCTCTGTAGGTCCGCGACAAAATCTTCTCCCACAGACGCCCAGGATGCAGCTGCTCCGCGTTGCGTGGGCACTGACCGGAGCGGCGATCTGCTGCTTTCTTATCCTCCTCATCCACTCACGCCTCTTAAAAGAAGGTAAACTGCTTGCGTATTCATTCCAGTCTTAGATATTTTCTTATGCGCAACGATCTTTTTTTTAACTTATAAAAAGTGAGGGGTCTCCACTGCAGTCAGGTTTGCACTTTTTTTTTGCTCTAAAAGCGACCAATCAATCAGAATCTGGGTTATTTGACAGAAAGCACGCCTCATCAACAAGTAACCTGGTTTTGTTTATAATCATTTCCATTAATCTGAAAATACAATGTATACCAGTGCCCAATAAACAGCAGAAATTCCCATTCTCAATAGATGGCACTATAGTCTAGCTTTAGGGTAACATTAAGGTCAAGCAATTTTAATCTACATCCCTTAACCTTGTATTTTTCTTTTCTGATCCCTTAAATATTTACCTAAAGATTGATTTTAGTTACGCACCCTGTCCACTTTGGCCTTGCAGACATGACCACATCATGGTTGAGCAGTTGAGCCCTTTTTTGGGGGGGAATGAGATAATTAATGGAGTGTCATTTGCTGACATTCAACTGTGAATGGCGTGTGGTTTAATGAGTCACAACTTGACTGATGTTTCCGCCTGGCAGATTATTCCCTGCAACCAGTCATTAATTCCACCTACAATGCGGCACAATAAATACAAATCACATCTGTCTGTGGGGAGATCTTCCTGCAAGAGATTTGAGCTCACTTGTTCCTTATGAAAGTCTAATGGTGCAAAGCTGAGGAATTACTGTACAGTATGAAGCTTGCTCAGAAAAAGAAAAAGCACTTCTTATTCCCTTGATGGAAGCAAACCCAGAGGGTAAGCAATCTGTTATAAAGACAGTCATCCATTTCTTTTGTGGAATTTTTGAAAAGCCAAACTTAAGATGACATGCTGTCCAGTCTACTGCCTCCAGTACAGGGTGGATATTGAGGTCATACAGTAATGAACGCTTTACATGAAAAGGTCCAACCAAAGAGATTATGGTTTTGCATGTTTAAAAGACCTCAGGATGCATTCCTCCAATCTTTTCATCAAAATTGTAAAAAAGTTAGGAAGGACACATCTATATTTTTGTGGGCTTTGTGTTCATTTAGGTTTTTTTTAAATACATTTCTTGAATAATATTATGAAACAAAAGTAAATATGCTCAACCGCTCCACCTGTATAGTTGGTGAATGAATCTACAATATAGCTTCAGTCACATTTGCAAATTCATAGCCAGCACAGTTCCCTCAAAGTGAGTCCATCTCCTTGCTTGTTCATCATCACTAAAGGGTTCTTGTGTCAATGAAATGCAACAGGATAACCTTAGAAGTTAGGTTCTTGAAAGGATTTGCTCAATACCTTAAAAAAAAGGTCCAGACATCCTTAAAATAATAGCTGCTATCAAAATAATAGATCCTTCAAAGGATGAAAGAGGAAATGAAGTATGAGAAGATTAGAACTGTGTAAAACCCAGAAGAGAAGCATCTTCATCTCCAATGGCTGCAAGTGTTTTATCTCATGTTTTTATTTAGGAGTTTTTCTGTGTACAAAATCTCACAGAGGAAAGGAAACCCAATAAAGAGCACAACCAAATCAAGTGTTTAGCCCCTTCTAGCCCTACTACCCAGGACCCCAAAGTGATTTCTGAAAAGCCAAAGGTTACAGTAAACCTACCAGTCTTACAATTCTCAGCTGCCAAGCGAGTTAGTGACAGTGTTATAAAGGTTGAATCAATTGCTTTCGAAGTGTAGTGTAGTGATAACGGGCAGTCTTTGATAATGATGGTCCAAACAACTTGAGATGGAATAGGGCATGTTTTGTGATAATTTTGAGATAATTTACCTTTTTTTGAATGTAGAACAGAAATGTATGTTTCCACTGTGTTCATTAAATAACCAAATCCTATGTTGTTGTGGTTACAGCAAAATAATGCCAGGCAGAGATGAGGCTTATCCGGCTCTATAATTTGAAGATATGACAAAAATATAGCCAAAATTAGGTGCAATATGTTGTTCGGTTTTAATCAGAGGTCAGAGGGACCGTTTTGTGGCCATGGTGCAGTACAAAAAAGTGCTGCCCATGGCTGTGTAAATGGAAGGGGCGCTCATTAGATTCAGACCATCAGCATTGCTGAGTTTGTTGACAGGCAATGCAATATTTTTGACCTTGACTGCTGAGTTGTTTGTCTGTATCATGTTGTGCTTTAAAACCTAGGTTTTTTTTTTTCCCCTAAAGCTTGCATTTCTTTGCATTCTGACAAGATATCAAATAGCTTTCAACTTTAAAGGGGAAAAGCTGCTGGTCACCGCATGACAAAAACAAAAAAAAAGATAGACTTTAACTTCATTGGGATTTTCAGAAAGGCCTTTATTGTAATCTACTGGAAAGATACCAAGATGAGTTACATAAAGGAGGGTTGAGAAAATGCACAATTTAGGCTGCAAGAATGAGCAAGGTCAAAACTGGCTGTGAGGCCTAATAATGCGAACTGATAAAATGAATTCAAAGGACTGCATTAGTGACAGTCTTTTGGGGACGAGGATAATAAAAGGCATGTGCAAGAGGCCTGAAGAACAGACCCCATCTAGTCTTTTCTCACGTATCCCCTTTTGGAGAGCATCCCGATTGTCCAATAGCTACTATCTCCTTTGTGAATTGGAACAAAAGGAAGAGAAAGCAAATGTATTTTTAGTTTCTTCTTTGCTATGGTACAGATTGATCCTCCCTGGTGTTTTTTTCATGCATGTAGGTGAGCGTACAGATGTGTGTGTGTGTAGGCGGTGTGTTATTAGATGGTTGGTAAGAGGTTTTTTTTCAAACTAGCAAAGATGGGAACTTTAGTCAGCTAAAGACACATAATTGTTGGCTATGGGCAAGTGCAAGCAGATTTTAAACCTCATCAAATCAACTCTTGTGCAGAGTACAGCTCTTGTTCAATCACAAAATGCAGAGATAGTGGATTAGGATAAGACACATCAAGGGACAGCTTGCACTGGCAATGTGAAGGGATTTTGCACCATAATTCTCTCAAAACGTCCATTTCAATAATTCAGTCAATGGAGCAAATCCCATTTTGCTCTTCATTGGCTGAGGTATTTGTCACATAGTAATAGAAAGCCTGACAAGCTCGCAAGGTTGTTCCTCTTTACTCACGAATTGAGGGCAATCTAACGAAATTTCCATTGTTTGTCAATGAAACAAACTAACTGTCTTGCTCTAAATTACATCTCTAAAATCTCTGTAGACTCTTTAGATTATTTTACAATACTATAAAATATGGTGGCTTTGAACTGTATTTTACTTTTAAAAATTCAATTTTTTACAGCTTTTTTCAACATAAGATTAAGTTTCCGTGCCTGATATTATTTTTAGGCATTAATTCAGTGGATTTGAATCATCAATTGCTTGTTTCTCTTTTATGTTTGTTCATCTTTATTTTAGATACAAAAATATTAATTTGGTGCTACCTGCCAACAAAATATTCTTAAGTTATGCTTTCAGGTTCATACCAGGTTCATACCAGAAAACTGCACCTTAGCAAATATTAATATACCGCGATTGAGTGGCATTTCCGGGTTTTAATAAAACTCTGTACTTGACCAGAAGAGAAGCATTACTGCTTCCAAGGGTAAGGGGTTGGCTATATCCTGTAAGTGGTAATTTCTCTTTGAAGGTTTTCTAGGTTTAGATTCTACAGAGAAAAAGAAAGGCCCAATAAAAAAGGAAACTTTGTAAACCCCAAACTTTTCATGGCCATCCATGTATGATTTGTTAAGGGTGCGAATGGCAAAAAATGTTGAAGTCAACCCACCACTGTTATAACTCAGAGCTCTCAAGTATGGTGTCAACAGCATTTCCTTTATCTTCTGTAAGGGTAGTTTATGCTGGCTTTGCTTGATAATGGGATGTAATGAGGAACAACGATCTGTCAGGCAAACCAACTAGGGGATTTGGGGTAAACCTAAACTAAACACACTGAAAGCCTTCAGCCAAGGTGGTGTCTACAGATTTATTTCTTAATTTTTATTTATTCTGATGCATAAAAAAATGGGGCAGCTTAAAGTGTGGCATTTTCTGTGTGATACAGTATATGACTGTTTAGTTCTGACTGCATAAATAAAAACAATGAAGGTTTTTTCCTCCAACTGTCTTTTGTTAGAATGCATGCATGAAACGGGTAACGACAGGTCCAAAGCGAAGGGTCTGAGAAGCTGGTGATTTACTAAATATTAAACAATAATTGGATCCACTAAATAAGGTCAATATTCCCACTGTTATATCAACCTATTCTCATTATGAGTACGTGTGAAATCGTACGAAAAGTTATGCACCGTAATTTCGTATGTTTTGGACGTTTTTTTCGTCGTATGCGCATCTGACGCACCATTCATGAATATAGAATATAAATTACAATTAGCCCTAACCCTGACCCTAACCCTAACCCTAAGATATAAAACAGCAAGCAACTTAGTTAGAGACATGAATAAGTGATGATTGCACTGTTTTTCCCATTTTTACGTCCGTCCGCGGATCTGCTTTTTTTTTCTGTCTGCCAGCGCATGCGCACTGATGTGGTTTTTTGAGGAAAAACGTCCAAAAACGTACGAAATAGTGTGCATAACTTTTCCTACGATTTCACACGCACTCATAATGAGAATATGTTGGTTATATTCATAGCCAGCACAAGAATAACATGATGTAATACTTTATGTCACTAAACAATTACAGCATTAATGTCTGCTGGGATGGCTAATTCATTGCCCGTAATTAAAAATAATTCTATCTTAAAAACTAAATCAGCACAAACGAGTTTTACCTGCAGAAATCAAGTAGTTCTAAAATAATTAGGCTAGATAATATTGATTCAATTCGGAGCTTAATGTGGGGATAGTTGACCTCTGGGTGATGTTAAAAAAATAGTCTTTAATATCTCTGAATCAGCAGTAGCACACATCTTTTTTTTCTTTATTTTTTTTTTTACAAATGATTATTTTAAATGCACAAACCTCCGCTAATGAAGCGATAACCATTCCGTCTATTTGCTGAGTTT